AGAAGACAAGATTGTTACACCACTGGACTTGTTGATGCTTCTGTAGATAGTGTGATGGCGCTTCTCGTAATTCTAACTCTGCCGTTCTCGAAGGTTATGAATGCTTTTTTCCATCCGCAAAGCAATGAGAAACCGTAACTTCGTAACACAGCAATTCTGAACATTCTAACTAATTTATTGTGTATCATGCAGCTCTCTGGTTGCAGCAGCCATCTTACAGAGCTTGTGGAGTATCTCATTAGCTTTTCTGGATGTATACGCTCTACTAGTGAGGCGCTGCTTGCGGAATCGCCGAGCTCTTTGTTGGTTTACTATTGGGGATGGGGTAAATAACTGATCAAACGAATTAAGAACACATCACTGTCATGTTTCGATTTCAAATAAGTTTGTGGCTTTTAGTATGGAAATAACCACTTGGACGCAATGACATATATGGCCATAAAATTCACACACCGAGTGAACTTACAAAAGAAACTTTATATCTTGAGAATCTATCGTCTGCTACATCATGCATGGCATTGACAAGTTCGAAATTTCCATTTATTTGCCGTAAGACATGTCAAATTAAGTTAATCAGTTTATTTGATTTAGAATTTTAAGTATTTGTTCTATTTTGTTTTTTGTTTTTTTGTTTACCTCCGACAAATTATAATATGACTTGTCATGCAGATCACAGCCACATTGACGTTTGCTTCTGCTTGTGCATCTGCTGGCATTACGGTACTGATTAGTAATGATCTCAACTTATGCTCAGAGAACCACTGTACAAGCTTTGAGACTGCTGCAGCGATGGCCTTCATCGGTTGGTTTGCAGTCTCTCCATCTTTTCTCTTGAATTTGTGGTCATTGGCATGCAGGTGAAAGATGAGAAGAAATGGCTACTCATTACTGTCTATTTGGGTGTGGCCTCGAAGTTCTTTTTCTTTTTTTGTTGTTGATGGTTGATTTCCCGTTGCTGTAATTTGTATCTTATAATGATGCTGGTTTGAGATGTGCAAGGATTTCAGATAAAAGATATCAGTTTGAGTTCTTCTCCCACGCATAAAAGGAGATTCCTCCCTATAGACAACAACTTGTGGGTAATGAAATCTTCACTATCAAAAACCAAAAGAGGATCGAAGAAAGACATGAAAATGATGATTTCATAGAAGGATGGTGTAAATTAGTCACCAGAGGCTATGGTATGATATCCAGCATGTAGGATTGGGCGAACAGCATGCATCTTTATCATAGCTGGCTTGATGATTGACTGCAATTGCAGTGCTGTCTCCTCTCTTCGATTTGTTGTTTCAATGACTCAATCTGCTTCTGCAGATTCATAGTTTCCTGGAAAAGAGACATAAATTTAAGCAGAATGCACAAAGTGGTGGAGGAAGAAGATGAGGTTGCATGTTGAAGTTGATACCTTTTGCAGTATGTCAAACCTCTTAGTGGCACTTGATAATGATGCCTTGGCCTGCAACAGATGTGCAGTAGAGTACATAACCAACAAATGTATAAAGATACATGAGCAAGCCAATCCATCAAGATTACATTGAAAATTGGAGAACATATCTCACATCTCATCTTCGAGTTCTGATTCTTGTTTGGGTGAATTTAATATATCCACGCATCAACCAAAGAATCATCAATGCAATCTTTATTAGTTCTTAAAGTTCAAATATATCCAAGCTCACATTGTCTTTTCAAATAACATCCTTAACCTTCAAGTACAAAGACCGTATATCGTAACAAGCAAGACTATCAAACTTAAAATGTCTTAATATGCCAGCAACATCTGAACCTATTAATTAGAGACCATACAATATACCACAAACTGAAATCCAGATGAAGTATCCTTCTTGCAGTTAATATAGGAAGATTTCCTGGTGTTGAACGCATAAAGTATGTCTTAACTTTTGTTTGAGTTAACAAAGAACAACATCTCTAAAAGGCCCATGGGCATTTAATAATCGCTTAAAACATTATCGTTCCTGACAGAAATAAGATTTTGGAGCAATTAAGGGAATCATGAAGGTGGGTTCTTTCCAAAATACCCATCAAAACTTGGATGTTGTATACAATATTTCCAGTTTTAAGAAAAATAGCATGATCTGTGATCCTTATCATTGGAGTGGAGACTCATGATGGAAAAGTCTTATCAACAGTAGAAGATATTGAAATTCAATCACAAAAAGTCATATCACACAATATTGTCAAAAGTTTTAGGCGCTATAAGGAGCCAAGGTCTCATCCGAGCAAAGGCATATGTTTACCTTAGAAAAAATATAAAAATTTAAGGTTGAAGATAAGTATTTTAAGTTCAATCAATACATGAGTATTATATAATTACATATGCAAAATTATTACCCAGATAAGTATTTTAAGTTCAATCAGTACATGAGTATTATATAATTACATATGCAAAATTATTACCCAGATAAGTATTTTAAATTCAATCAGTACATGAGTATTATATAATTACATATGCAAAATTATTACCACCGAAACATCAAACTACATGCATCTAGTTGTTTATAGAGTATTTAACCAACAAAATGATAATTAAACTAGTTCATATTTCAATAACAAAATAAATTTATACATCTATCTCAAGACTATATTTTCATCCAATATCATTTAGTGTTTGTTAATGATGACTCATTGGGCATTCTCAAAATTATGCTGCAATAGTTCAAATGTCAGAGTTGACAATCAAGAGTAAATGCAGCAAAGTAACAAGAGTTAAAACAAACAAGGGATGCACCTTTTGGAGCTCATCCTGCACCTGTTTATTCCTCTCCACCTCCCCATCATATTTCATCCTCCATTCAGCAGATTCATCCATTGCTTCCATATTGGCTCGTTCAAATTGTCTCCTGTGGTGAACAAAAAAAATGATGTACGAGTACTAAAGATACAAGTTAATAAACATTCTTGGAACTTTAAGGAATCAGAAAAGATCCATTACATCATAAAATCAGACAGTAATAACAATATCGTAAAGAAGATGAATTAATTAATTTCCAAATATGAAAAATGTTTCAGCTTTACTAGTAAATGAAGCATTGGTCTTCTTTACAACGCCAATCAACTCCGACCTGATGAAGAATTCTAGTTAATAAAATCCCAAGCAGCGAACTCGATGAAGGAATTCCCGTGTAATAGTATTGTAAAATAAAGGTGTTAACAAAAAGCACATACCAGGGAAAATCTATTGCCATTCCACTTTAAAGTAAGATTGGTTAACAAGTGCAGAAGATAAGGCAATTAACAACCTTCAAAATTTCTTGTTCCCAACAACTTCCGAAGGAAAGTATAACACGATCCTATTGGTAAAAAACATTTGATATGTGAATGCAGCAAATATTCAACGAAGCATGCAACTGCGTACATCCAGAGCACATGTATCGAAAACAAAACTTGATTTGTCTCCCAACTGCAAAATCATTCCAACTCATCCAGTATCTTTAAAATCTTTAAAAACAAATATAATATATGCACAATTACATGACACCAAAATGCAGCATAACAAGTGAAGTTATGCGGATAAGAAGCAAAACTTCATACACATTCCTATAAGATTGAAGTGGGAGAGCAATGGGAAGGCTAGTGAAAGTGGAACTGAAGCGAGAAGAGATCTTCACCAACATCCCCTATGGTGAGGCAGAGGCAAATGATATTAACACTCTTTTCCAAGTTGAGTTGAGAAATAGCAGCAAACAACCGGATCAAGGCTAATGATCAAGTCTATCTGAATCCAGATCTGATGCCAATCACCACCACCAACTAGCCCTCTATAAGCAGGTATGGTGCGGCTCAAATGTGCTCCGGATGCAGTAGACTTCATAATGTCTATAACTCCACAACTCATTAACCTACTAGAACTGCATAGTTGAGGACAGATCGACACGAAACAACAACAACATACATCGAGCCATCAGATTGGGAGCAATCACATAAAAACTAACAGATCGAGGAACTAAATCATCAAGATGATGTCAGTAGATCGATGCATCGAGATGGAGAGCATATGCCACAAGAAAAAGAGGAAAAGCCAGGGACACGATTGCGAACCGAAGGGTTTCGCGGTCATCGGCCGTGGCGGTGGAGTCGTCTTGGCGGTCGATGGCCCACAGCCGGAAGTACACGGCGACACCAAGAAAGAGGGCGACGGCGAAGCCCACCAGGATCGCCCTCCGCTGCCTCATCACGACGCCCTCTCTTCCCCCTCCTACCTTTCCTTCTCACTCAACCGACTCTAACAACCGACTTTAATCGAGTCGAACGCGATTAAGAAGAGGGCTGCTAATAGGATCGAGCCATACTTGCCGGTGAAGTTGGGGTTAACGGCCGCTTCCAACTAAAATTGGAAACCTGCAGAGCTATTCTAATCCAAGTATTTCCCTATCAAAACTCACTTCCAAATTTCCCTATTTAAACTCACTTCATCCTAATCACAATATATCCAAATAAGATTGGGTTTTGTAATATATTTTAATAATATTTTACTATCATAAAAAAGCACCCTAAACTAATGTCTAAGATAGAAAAAATAATAATTTTACATATTTGTGAGAAAAATTAACGATCAAGTATATTTTTTACATTTTTACTTGTTCATTCTTAGAAAATAAATATTGACATATGGATAACACCATCCTCTTCTATTTGAATTCCAGTATATCTTATATAAATCGATATAACTCAAAACGATAGAACATAGATTGACAAGCCAACTTGGCTTAGACATAGGTACCTCGATAAGATCAAACTTGAACTAACCTAATCTTTAATTCATGATGGATTCCACGTTAGCCTAATAAACACCATCAAAATAAATAATTTACTTTATTTTGACTATATAATCATTAAATTAAAATAATATAATCTATTTTAATTAAGATGTTGAATATTTTGAATCTAATAAATCTTCTATGACAACAAGTTGGTACTCTATTAACATGAAAAATCTCTCTCGATAAACTCTTAATATCGTCTCGGTTTTGTTAATCCACTTGGGAAGATATGTAGTATTTGTACTCTTCGTAGTAATCAAATTATAAGTAATCTTTGTAAAACTCTTATATAAGTTAGGACGTTATGATGGAAGAACCTCGAGGTTTTTCATCATGTAACAACGATGAGAATGTATCAACGATGATACGATGATCAAGTCATTACTAAATTAATTAAATAATAAATAGTTATATTAATTTATCTTAAGCTCCAAAATTGTATGATTAGATGGTTTGATGTGGAAATAGGTCTCATGAAGTCCTAAGTTGATCTCAACTTTGTTATCCTTTATTTTATCCATACAAAAGAAAAGGTTGGTTAAAAAAAAAAACTTGGTTGTGTGTGGGAAATCAGATAATTTTTTATTTTACTTTAAACTCTAAGAATACATAATCATATAATAAGAGGCCAAAGGGCAACATAGTAAAAAATCAAGCTTCATAAATATATTTGATAAAACTTATGTCCTTTAGATTTTTAACCCCATAATTGTCAATACCAATTTTCTGAAATATAAAAAAAAATATCTTCTCAAATTGGTTGGTCTAAATTTTTAGTTTTTTTATTTTTAATAATATATTACTTGATAAGCACTTACAAAATCCTCTTTTTTTACATGATAGGATAACAACACATAAGCTGGAAGGATCACTCTTACTATATCTCACTAAGTCAATTAGAAACCCTATTATATTTTCTAAACATATTAGATATTCTAACTTCCAAAAGAAAAAAAAAACAAAACAAAAGAAAGAAGAAATATCCTCCAAGGCATATTTATAACATTCCAAGGAGATAGGACTTTGAATCTAATTCCACATCCATCTTTAATTATTCCCTCAGTGCAGCTCTTAAACCTTTGTTAATGGTGGCAATTACAAGGCACAATTGACCTTATGCTACCCAACAGATGGGATTTTCCCCAATTTAATTATAGGATGATTGATCTCTTGAGAAACTTCAAACATGATGCAGTCCTGAGTAGGACAGGTACAGGCTATATTAATATGATAATAATAAATATAACTAGCAAAAGTCTTAAAAAACAGAGCATGATGAGCATCATCATTGAAAGGAATCAAAATTCAATATATATTTTTCTGTTCGCTTGATTTCTAAATCATTACATAGTAAAGACATCAAAAAAATGTTTGCTTAAAAGATTGAAACACCTTCTCACATAGAGGATATATGCTCGAATTCCATAGATTTCTATCCTTGATTCAGAAAGAATTCCTTCAGTTTTCCTTGAATGTTCTTTATATACGAAGATGCAGAAAGGCACAGCAGATCTTATCAAACAAAGTGAAATAACAAAGGATGATAGATTCATAGTCCATATCACGGGAAAACTTATGACAGCTTCGACCAACAAACCAGACAAGGAAGCTAAAGTAGGACAGACATGGAAGATGACAAAGACCTACACATATGTATTAAGCCAAGATCTCATCGAGGCCTGTAGCCTTGGCCAAGTTGATGTCCTTAGTCTTCTCCAGTAGCTCCGGCTGCTGCTTCTGCTCCGTCTTGGCCAGTTTCTTGAGCTTGGCGAGCTCGAGGTCTCGGCTCATCTTCCTGCGGTACATCTCGGCAAACGTGATGGGCTCCTCCAGAATCGGCTTCTCTCCCTCCCTTACTGCCAGCGGATACACGATTGCCTCCGGCGCGGGGTTCTGAAACGTGGCGATGGAGAGCCTGCTGTAGTTTGAGTTCACCACAGCCTGGTGGTCAGCATTCTTGAACCTCCCATTGCTCAGAAACTGCCTCAGAAAAAGGGGATTTAGATTCTGGCTCTTCTTTGAAGAGATCATAAAGAGAGACAGTCAGCTGACTTGATGAGGAGCTGCACTCACATGGCCATGGTCCCCGAGGTTGACCACAAAAGCTCCCTCCACAGGCTGAACCGTGATCCATGTCTTGCCGCCATCCTTGGTGGCTTGGAGGCCGCCGACTTGGTCTTGGAGGAGGAGGGTGATGGTGCCGGGATCGGTGTGTCGTTTGAGGCCAAGAGTGAGGTCCGGCTGGGGGCACTTGGGGTAGTAGTTGACGACAACCTTCTGATCCATGTCGATGCAGGCCTCGGTGAGGGCCTCCTTGTCGAGCCCCATAGCCTCAGACAACACCTCCAAGAGCTTGCACGCCAAGCCCATAAGCTTCTCGCTGTACGACTCCACCACGGATCTCCACCCTTCCGGCTTGTCCGGCCATCGCGAGTAGTCCCGAGCCCGAATTGGGTATGAGAAGTACGTCACGATCTCTCTCCAGTCCTGAACTGCCTCGCCCTGAGCAACACATCAAGTAAACGGCCTCATTCATATGCATGCGAATCGAGTATCCGAGAGCGGTGACTGGTATACCTGGAGGTGGCTGGAGACGATGAACCCTCCCTTCTTCCCACCGGACATGTCGAACAAGAGCTTCTCCTCCGGGGACAGCGCGAAGAACTCTTTGGCCAGCCTAGTCATGTCGGAGATAAGGCCGGCGTCGACCCCGTGGTCCACCACCTGGAATATACCCCAGTCCTCGCAGGCCTCCACGACCTTGCGGCGGATCTCCGCCCTCTTCCCGCCCGCGGCGTCGTCATCAATCCCGGAGAGCGAGATCACGGGGATGTCAAGGCTGAACTGGTTGTAAGCCACCTTGGGACGCTCGTCCTCGTCCCGGACGAAGCTCGCCCTCAAGGTCTGCTCGTTGGTGGGAAGGACTGCGGTGCCGGGAGCCATCTTCGATCTCTGGTGCTGCCTGCACTTTAAGCTGGATTGGGATGGTGAGGCATCTCCATGTGCTTTTAACGAGGGGGAGAGGGGATGAATGGCAGCTCCCAGCTACCACTCGTGTCAGCTACCACCATCGCTTTCCTGTCCTTCCGTTAGCAGTAGTCCGCAGAGGTTCGCTGCGTGCACAGGAACGAATGCGTTCTAGAAGATGGCAACGATGGAGGATGAACGGAGGGCGTAGTGGCACGCGCATACCGAACCATCTTTTTGGTCCAACACAGGCACGTGCTCACTTGTCTCAGCCTTCCCGGCGATTTCATATTAGGTAACATCTCCCATTAAATCTTGATGTGAACAGATTGGTATATGCCAATGTATCCAACCAAAAGTTCTTCTAGTACGTCAAGTCCCTTTCAACGTTGAACTTTTAAACGGGCTGCCAACAACTGAGAGAATGCCCACTGGTTTGACGCTGTGCTCACACACAAAGCATAATACGCACTGTCATTTTGATAGAGCCAACATTATGACTTTGCAATTGACCCCCTAATCCACCTGACTCATGTTTAGAGCAATAACAAGACCACACTCATTTTGGCTAATCCTTAACGCCAAAAATAGGTTAGTCATTCTTTTTTTATATCATATATTCTTCTTTTTTAATAATATTTATCGTTGTATTTAAAATTCATACTCATTTCTCAAGGAAAGAAAATCGAAACTAAATATGCAAAAAGTTTTATCCACCTAAAGAGAAACTGGCAATAGAAGAAGATTGGAAAAACCTCTCCC